ATCCGGTTAAACCACATACGCCTCAGTAGGGAAGGCCAGGGAGACTTTCAAGAGCCGCCCTAAAAAGAGAGAAAGTGTTACGAACCAAGCATCAAAAAAGTCTGAATCTTTAAATTAGATCCACAAAGATGACAGAAACTCTGAAATAAACCCTTTAACGAGTTAAACTTTTGAGGAGATGGTTTGCTTGTCCCTCGTGATGTATTTTGCTGGAAACCGCATATCTGCAAAAGTTAACATGCAGGGTGCCCAAAAAATGCATACAAATTTTAATTAATTTTAAACATCGCGCGTTTTATAATTTTATTATTTTAAGAACGTTAAAATATTTAAAACTATCAATTTGTTGTTTTTTTCACTGCATTTTGATTATTGTAATAGAGGCTGAATTGAGAGAAGCCATTGAACATGAATGCACCAGAATACCAAGAGAATTGTTTCATAGTGTGGGCAATTCTATTGCTCCGCATTTTCAGCAGTGTCATGATCAAAATAGACGTCGTAAATATTTTTAAATTTTTTAAATAATAAAATAATGGTAAACGCCAATTTTATAATTGTGTAAAATGTGTATACATTTTTGGGACATCCTGTTTAATTCAAAATTCCATAAGTTTAAACCCTATTCCACGTTAAGAAATGTTTAAATGTAAGCGAATTTTGCAGGACAGTGTAGTTAACAGTCAAAAAGGCCCAAATCAGACCAGTTACAACAACCAACTGGTCGGCGTTACCAATTAAATCTAAAATAGGACTGCAACATTGGGTTCGACTATATCGAAAATGGACGACAAGATCATGCGTTCGCCGTAGGTGGAATCAGGCAAGTCTTTACATAAATCATTTATTTTCGCCTACCTTGGAGTGGTACTTGTTCTGGCGATCTGGTGATGTGATAACAGCGTCGTACGCATTCGACCGTCACGGCTACAGTTTGCAGTGAAAAACTTTAATATTTCGCATTCGTACACTGGAGTACGGTCAAATAATTCAACTGAGCATATAAAATGCCGTCAAAATATATACAAGATACCAACTAATGAAGCGTCATCAAAACACGAGGAAGACCGACTTGGCAATTCAGCAGATGCAACACATATGTCCTACAGTTGCCGACAATGTTACGAAAAAAATTACTTACGAAGTAGACCATTTGATCTGTAGTGACTCCAAAGTAACCTTCGCGTTTCATATACTCGCAAGTGCATTTATTGAGTTATTTCGAAGCAGACACGATGGTACATTGCCATTATAGGCAAGATATATTGCTCATGATAATCAAGTTTTATCTGAAAGTATGCAAGGTCTTCATTTAGCCTTATTATCATTATAATAGTGTTAGTCATGCTTTTGAGAAGTTAACAGTGGGCAAGAAAAATGCCGGTGTATTCCTTGAAGATAATTACTTTTCAATCAATTCGAGGCACAATGCACGTAGAGCCGTAAAAATGGGACGAACCAAGGTCAGTTAAGGAGACAAGATGCTAACACAGTCAATATTTACAATAAATACAGGGTGTCCCGGAAGTAAATGACTCTTTTGGTTTGCCAATAAAACAAAAACTGTTAACGCTAGGATATTGAAACTTGTTTTATTCGAAAGAAAAATCTTTTTATTTTTTATTAGAACTAGGCTTTTAATATAATGTTTTTTAAATTATGCCCATGGTTGTTTTGACAACTAAGAGTTCGTTTCTTTGTCGTTTTCATAAAGCTCCTTAGTGTATCAGGCGAAAGTTGTTTTATTTCTGAACAGATGTTGTTTTTAAGATCTTGCAGATTTGTTGGATTTGTTTAATAAACCCTTGACTTCAGGTAGCCCCATAAGAAGAAATCGCATGGGGTCAAATCTTCGAGGGGGCCAAGGAGTGTTACCAAATCGTGAAATCAAATGATTTGAAAAGCACTCATTTAACAATGTCATTGTTTCTCTTGCTGTATGGGCCGTGGCTCCATCCTGTTGAAACCAAGTATTGCGTGGGCCATGTCTCTCAATTTCAGGAATT